TATATTCTGTTGTTGGAACATAGACTTGGATAACTTTTACATTATTTCCTGCTAGCTGTTTGTTTATGAAGAATCCGACATCTCCTACTGACTCATGTTGTTCTCTGTGATAGTAAAACAAATGACCGGATTTTAGGGTCTCGACCCCTTCACCTCGCCTTCTCACTTCACTAACTCCGACGATGTCCCATCTGATCTTTTTTCTTCTTCCATTTTTTAAAGCTTTCATCAGAAAGTAGAGTTCTAGTATTCATGGTTGCAATTTTGAAAACTGTATGTTTTTTAAAGCACTTGTCAAATTTGTGTCCCCCCAGAATCCTTGGGACAGACTGATAAAGCAGTGTGAGAGTGTTTACTCACCTGGGGCAGTTTCCGTTTTGTTTTAAAATCTGACATTTGTAAGAGTTTTTGGCTAAGTTCAATGCCACGCGAGCCACTGCGTGTTGGCAAGGTTTCAGTTTCAGCCGCCCACTCTGGGAACAGACGCTGTTTGCGGCCGCCCACTCTGGGTAGACGCCGCTGCTGTCGCAGTATCACAGCCGCTTAACTCATATGTGAGTGACGCCTGTGAGTATCTGGAATTAAGCCTACAGGATTTTTACTTCGCATAGCCTTAATCCAGTAATGACATTACTGCTGCCTAATGTCATATCCTCAGTTGATCCGCGGGTACTTATTTGGCAATGCCTTATTCGTACCTGTCCTGCATATCTGCAGGAACTGTCCCTATCAGCCATATGGGACGTTCTGTGTCGAGGTTGAGGACATCCCCCGTCCAGTCTGTCTTCCGTGGAGTACAGAAGAGCCCCTACTCAGTTCAGAGCTCCTCCTCCACGAAAGCTAAGACCAGCACGGGTCTGCCCGCCATTAAAGTTATTAAATTCATTCGTTATTATCTAAATATTTTATACATGGAGATAAACTACAATGAATTGTAATCAAAATTACATTTTTTGTGACTTTCCAATCCGGAAAATGTCTTCAAAAAATTGTCGAAATAAAAATTATAAATTTGATAAAACCTATAAAGATTATTTTCACTCCAGGTTATTGAAGCCTACTATTGTATTGTTGTTTTTCTTTAATTTAAATTTTTAAAGATATTTCGTCACATTTGCAGTTTGTACTGCAAATTTTATACCTTCTCAAATAACATATACTTACCGTCGAGCGAAAGTTCTCGTTATAAATATGCAAATGAGTATAGAACTAATTGAATTAGAAAAATAATTGCCTGTAACTTCTAACAAAATATACTAAGATACGGTGCAGAGCAAATTACCATTAGCATTACTAATTTATAACTAGAGATAATGCCAAAAGCTATAAAATTGTCTTAATGCTCGTATCGAAAAATACTCAACTTACGACCAGTTTTTTGTTTTCACCTCAATTAAATGTTTACAGAATGTAGCACCAGCTGTAGATATTATTTTTATCTCGGCATTGCTGCCAATTGCTTGATATAAACATATCATTAGGGTTTAAAATAAAATTTGATATTAGGGTTTGAAATGAAGTTTAGAGAACACAATAATCATTAAAGTAAAATGTTCATAAAAATCAATACATGATGGAATCTATGTATCTCGGAAGCAAGTATATCTTAACGATAAGCACCTTTTACTGTAGTTTTAGTACTGTTCGACGAATATGATCAATTTGAGTCTGTAGCGCGTTGAAGGCTACCCTGGTCTGGCCAAGTGCATTATACCTTCTGTCTAGGTAACCGACCAGCTTAGTCAGCATAATCTGGCTAATTGTCATTATCGACAGAGAAGAGGGCAAGTATAACGGAATAAGAGTGCTTATTACCACGACTAATATTAACCGTGATAGCCGCACTCTTACGCGTTTATCGCCATTCATCTCTTCTCGAAGATGTCGACAACTTTCCGAAGCTGAGTGGTCCCATCTTTGGCAGATTCAGGCAGCAGGATTAAATAATCAGCGTATCCTAACACTGAGATCTTCCTGCCATCTGCAATCGACAGGCCAGGCCTGTCTTCCTCAAGCTTCTCGTCGACCACCTTATTGAATTAGTAGGGGGACAAGAGATTGCCCTGTTTCACACCCCTACTCATTCTTCCATCATGTATCACTTAAATGTACCATCTACACCAAAGCGAGTTAATGCTCGCTCAATTGAACATTGAGAAACCGTAAAGGTACCTAAGGTAAAATATTTCGGAAGCAAACAAGACTATTACAGGTACAACATGATTATAGTTTGGGAAAATTGCAGAGTTACATGTAGAGTAGGATAGATGCTATCTGGACATCTTTTTCTATTCATATCTAGACATGCCACCTAATATTCTTCTTGCAGTTTTCTTACCATATAGCTAAGATCGTAGCTGTCTTCGGCAATTACTACCTGGTCATCCACAAAGAAAAGTGTATATCGCGTGTTTTCTTCCACCGTTATTGCCATGTTTCTACATTTTTTTAACCATTTCGCTAAGGATCTGTCCAAATAGATTTTAAATAAGGTGGGTGACAGACAGAAACCTTGTCTTAGCCCCTTTTGTTGTTTGAAAGGGATAGGTGATTTCTTGTCCCATTTTAATTCTTGCAAACTTTTGTTCGTAATATTTTTGAGTGGCTTTAATAAGAATTGGGTGTATTTTGAAGTTACCCATTTCTGTCTATAGTTGGGAGATCGGTGCACTGTCATATGCTTTTTCCAAATCTATTAAAGCTATATGGGTTTCTCTATTTCTCTGCACTTGTTTTTCAATTGCAATTTTTAATGTGAAAATATTATCCATAGTGGAGCGTCCGGCCCTAAATCCCGTTTGTTCTTCGGGTTGTTTGTCTTTAATATCATTGTCTATCAGGTTTCGTAGTACTTTTGAGTATAGTCGGCCTATAGTAGCAATCACTTCGATCCTTCTATAGTTTTTAGGATACGTCTTTGTGCCTTTCTTGTATATTGGAGAGATATATGATTGTCTCCATTCTTCTGGAACTTCTTCTCCGTTTAAGCATCTTTCAAATAATTTTCAGATCATTCCAAACAGTTTTGATGATCCATACCTAATCAACTCAGGATGTATTCCGCCTGGGCCTGAAGATTTTCTTAATTTCATTCCCTTAACTGCTTCTTTCACTTGTTCTATTGATATTTCTATTCTTCCTTCTACTTCCACTTGTTCATTTGTCTGTTTAAACCTTTCTCTTCTCTCTGTTAATAAGTTCTCAAAATGCTCTACACATGTGTTCTCTGGTATTCTATTTATTATGACTTGGTTTTTTGTCGTTGTTCTCAACGTTTTTATAGTTCTCCAGGCTTCAGAGCTCTTTGTCGCTCCTATATGGTTGTCTAGGTATTGGCATTTTTGTTCCCATACACTATTTTTCCTTTTAACCACTTATTGTTTGACTTCTTTATTTAAGTTTTTATATTGTTGTTTTGTTTGTTCGTCTCCCTGTTGTAATAACTTTTGATATACTTCCTTCTTTCTTTTTATCTTTTCTTCTACTTCTTTATCTCACCAATATGGTTTATCTACTCTCCGTACCTGTGACCCTAATGCTTCTAGCGCTGCGTCTTTCATGCAGTTTTTTATATGTTCGTATTCATCCGTCGTTGATCTGTGTGATTTCTGTAGTTTTTGTGTTAGTCTCCAGGAGTAAAGTAACTGTGTGCTCTTGTTATCTAGATTGTCTAAGGTGTACGTAGTTATTTCTATTTTTTCTCTGTGTTCTTTGTTAATGTCTGTGTGGTTGCTGTCTACGAATGGTGTATATATTTTTCCTATTATATCGTCGGTACAACCCCCTATTAAAAGAATCCAGATGTGACACGGTTGTTGCCGTTAATGTCCATCCCTCAACTTCGTACAATAGTCTAGACAGTACGTATCATTTATTGGCACGCCATCGAGTAGTTAGACTCAGGTCTTTCTTGCAAAATAATGATTACATTTTGAAGAAAGCTATATGGTCTAGATGAGAGTAAAACAAAAGTTTTAAAAAAATAAAGGATTCAAAATATTTTAAGAAGAAATAGGTACATAGGTACTGGGTACCTAGGATTGGTATTACACAGTAATGGAGAAATATAGAGATACATGAAGTAGGGATTAGGGAAAGATGGATAAAATTTAAGGAAGTGAGTGGTGTGTTGTGTGACAGAAAGATTCCAATAAAAAAAATCTACAAAACTGCCATAAGACCAGCTATGATGTACTGAAGTATATGTTGGGCAGATAAAAAGAAGGATGAACAACGAATGGATGTGACAGGTATGAGAATGCTTAAATCGATGAGTGGAATGGCACAAAAAGGATAATATTAAGAATACATATAGTGAAGTCTAGGGATATCTAGGGATAGCACCAGTTTATGCCAAAATTGATGATTTGCGAATTTGTGGAAGCAATAAGAGAGGATAACAATAAACAAAGACCTTAAAGACATAGGCAAACACATTATCAATTTAGGGAAAAGTTTATTAAAAATAATTTACATTGAAGACAATTTTTCATTATTTTGCCCTTTGTCCTAAATATTTGGTCTTTAATTGCGTCAAATAAGTGTTTTAAATCTATACAAATTGCTATAATCTTGTTTGATAGTCGTAAGAGTTTGTGTACAATTATTTAAGGGTGACAGTTTGGTTCATATCGCTCTTAAAATTTTTTGATGTTCTGTAATTTGTTTCTTTGAGCATTTGCTGGATTTTTTTCTCCTAGGAGAGCATGCTCTATTTTTTATCGTTTCTTTAACAGATTTTATATAAAAACGGCATTAAACATCAAGAAATTGTTCTTTGTATACAAATTAAATTGTATTTAGTCATTGCTGCATTAAATTATTTTGTTTGTGTGACGATGTTGCTCATCGCAACTAATTTCAAGATTAATAAGATCCGTACGATTAGTACGGCATTGTTTACGGTATATCGAAGTAATAACGTGTGCAATAACACATACACTAACCAACAACAATACTCGTACTTTCACTAAAACGAAACAATCGTTTATTGTTTTCAGTTTCCGCAAAAGCGACACAATGCCTTCCGCACGCCAGTGAAATAGAGGTCTCCACGGGACCTTTCTTCGGGGGCAGGATCGCTGTGGAAGCGGCGGACGGCGAGAGATGTGCTATCGATGGCGAACCCGATAGTCCCAGAGACGTGTACACGCTGCGCATAAATCACACCGAATGCGGCAGTCAAGTCAACGATACCACTGTCGCCACCTTCGTGTTGGTACAGGAGAATTTGCCGATTTTGACTCATAGTACGAGAAGGTAAGTTGTTACAAAATAAATTTTGTTGCTATACACCACAATATTTAATCGTCCACAATACAGTGACAATCTTTTACACATTTCAAATGCTGAATAAAATGCAATCTACGCGTCTGCTTAATAGACAAGATTTTCCACACAATTTTCATCCTACGAGATGTAAACATGGTACACTCACTATATTAATTTACAGATACCTGCTTCTTTTTTCTTGTGACTCATGTGCATTTTATTACCACACATTGGGACAAAATGCTGTCAGACCTGTCTTGAAGTTTGCCAAGAAATATTGAGTTTTGTATATGTAAATGATTCCCTTACCAGGGAATACAAGGCATCGTCTTGCATATGAAGAGTACACTACAAAAAGGGAGAATGTCAATTAAGTACAATTACAAATTAAGTACAACTTCTCATTTATATTGTTTTGCTTGTTGGAATGTTTCTAAAAGTTTACTGTTCTTCCTAACTGTTCTTCTTTTCTTTTTCATCTGTAGGCCGGATGAAAAGATTATTATCGAGAATGTCATCTAAATACAGACCGGATAACCTTGGAATGATGACTTTATGGGTCTTTTTATAAAAAATGTTTGAAGTAATCTTATTTGGAACAAGGTTTGTAGATACATCACTCAAAAAATAAGGAAAAGCACATATTTTAGGCTAAAAGATTATCACCCAGCTTTAAGATCATGTATTCAAATCGTTGTTCCCATTTAGATTGTTGAATAATTCTATTATAGCAAGACGAGAAATTGTAAAGATTATCTAAGGAATAAAAAATGATGAACCTGCATATCCTGATAAAGTACATGGAAAAATCGTCATATGGAGTTTCACATCGAATCTAAACAAAACCTGTTCAACATATAATAGACCAAATAAAAGAGTTTCTTCAAAAGTACCTTACTTCTATATTTATCCGTTGTCGAAGAACATATCTTGCAAGTATGAAGACTATAAAATAGTAAGTTTGATCTACTACATGCTAAAAATCTTCCTCCATGTAGGGTTACTAATACTCCATCGAGGGCCAAATGAAATACACTTTGAGCACCATAACTTGGATTGGGCAGTGGTAGCTAGCTGTCTCAACACTGATCATAGACAATGCTTATAGAGCAGTATACAAAGCAAACTAACTATTATTTTCTCCCAGGACAGTCATGAAATGGCGACCAAGATCAAACGCGGCTCCAAGTATGGGCGCTTCTCTGATCAAGCAAAATATTTAACGGTTTTAACCTGGGAGGATACGGATGAATGCATTGGATATATCAATATTATTTGATAGTGGAATGAAATGGCCTCAACAAAAAAACTTTCTATCGACGATCTGACGAAAACGATGTCCAATATTAAAATCGAGTTAGCATAAAAATAAATACCGATTGGGACCCATCTTTAGAAATTCATTGTCTCATGAAAGCTACAATTGGCAATTGCGCATTGGTTGGATGGACAGAGTATGTAATGAAATCTTGTTAGTTCGAAACAATAAAGATAAATAAATCATAAAAAATATTAAAATCCGAAAATTGACAGTTTTTTAATGTATTGAGTGAAATACCCAGAAAAGTACAGCTTGTTACACATAATTCTGCAATGAAAAACACTCGTAAGAAGACGTCTAGCAAGAAAATAAACATCTTTAGATATTAAAAATCATCACCACTAGAGACACGATATAGTCGCAAAAAGTCCTTAGTTATTTCTTGGTTTAATATTATTTTTATTCAGTTTTTGTTCTTGAATCTTCTAGAAGGTTCCAACCGTTGTCCATCTTAAGTTCTGAATATTGGTTGAGAACGACTGGTCTGATGGGTCATTGTGACATTTGGAGACAGGCCATCGAGAGTTATTCTGTGCTTTCTATGGTACAGAACAGCATGGTTCTTAAATTTGAGTTCTTATCTTCCTTCTTAGTAGAATTTTCTGACCAAGATGAACAGATAGAACGCTAACATGTACTGATCCGTCGGAGCAGGCTCAATTGGTTCAGAAACAGGTCTAGAATTGACAAGGGGGCAGGCGCTGGAAAATATGGTAGTGTGTCTTGTATGTAGTCTTTCAGACCGAGGTCTTTACGGTACTTAATATGTGCTTAGCAGATAATAGATAGGGCTTTACTCAGGCAGGACCATCCCTATCTGATCTGACAGTCAAGCAGCGCTAAAGGCTCTAAAACTACAAAGTCAACTGTAAGCTGGTTTCTGAGTGCAAAAAAGCGCTGGCTAATGTTGCGCTGACCAATAGAGTCAACTTGATATGGGTACGAAGGCATACATATGGTAACGAACGAGTTAACATCCTCACAAGACGGGACTTATTCAATCTGCCCGTGGAACTCGAACTTGTCATTGGAGTGCCTTTCAGTACTTGTCGAAGTAATCTCAAGAAGCTACTTTTGCGAAGATTCCAGGACTCATGTGCTAGTTGTGGACGTATGAAACAGCGGGATCATCCAAAATCTTACACCACAATTTCTTCTAAATCGTAGAAAATGCATATGCATCTGCTTACTGTGCAGTCTATCTGTGGTTTTCCGGATAATTTTGGTTTTGATAAGAACCATTATTTTGACGACGTTTCTGTGCAAATTGTCACTTTGCTTTACAGGAAGCATGACAATTTAACAGGTATTGTGTAGTAAAAAAGATTGAAAAGATGAGGTCTCTCTGTTTCTTTCGCATTTTTATAAAGATCTTTCACAATATTGTAAATATTTATAAATGCTTCTTGTCGTAATTCTTTAAATGTTGTTTTGTCTACACTCTAGTTCTCTCTCTCTCTCTTTGTCAACCATTTTACATCCACTCCTAATCGCTGCCATTTTTCTCTATCCTACGCCAATCTAATCCACTGTTTGCCTGCCACTGCTCTTGTGTCATCTACCCATCTTTTTTGAGTTCTTCCCATGCTTCTTGTTGTCGTCCTTGGTCTCCATTCTAGAATTATTTGTGTCTACCTATTGTCATTATATCGGGCTATGGTGACCTGCCCAGCACCATTTAATTTTTGTAATTTCTTTCACAATATGCCTAATCTTCGTTCTACGTCTTATCTCGGTGTTTCTAATCTAGTCTCTTAGTGATATTCCAAGCATGATTCGTTCGATTGCTCTTTGCCTTGTTTCTAATTTTTTAGCAGTTTTTTTGGTAAGGGCTACTGTCTCCAAGCTGTAGGTACAAACCGGTAATATGCATGTGTTATACACCTTTTTCTTTAAGTTTAAAAAATCGAGGGTTTTTCAAGATATATGCTAGTTTGTGAAAGCGTCAGTTGTGTTCTTTTAATTTCAGCATCTTGATTTGATTTTCCTAGTTTGATGACTTGACCTAGATATGTTCAACATTTTCTATGGTATAATTTTGTATTGTTATATTTGTCTGGTGTCGGCTAAGTATTTTTGTTCTACTGTAGTTCATTCTTAAGCCTACCGCTCCTGAAACTGCATTTAATTGTTGTAACATATTATTTAGTTCTTGGATATTATCGGCTATTAAAACTATGTCATCTGCGAATCTCAAGTGGTTTAAGTATGATCCGTCGACGTTGATACCCCTGTTGTTCCATTCTAGTTAGATTCTAGAGTTAGACACTCTAGTTAGATTCTCCAAAAGCGTTATAAATCCCGTGAATACGTAATGGTAAAATATTATTTAGCCATAAAATACTTTAAAAACATATGCAACGCGAACTGTTATATGCAAATACGGTATTTTCAGAATCCACCGGAAATTCCTTTCGTTAACTTGTTTTACTGTTCCAGGGTCAGTCCAGTCCGTCTTGTGATTCTCGTTTTGACCCGGCTGAAATCGATGTTATTATAAAATGCATTGTGCTTATAAAGTGGGTCGTTAAAAAATTCTTTGCAATACAGAGTGTTCATATACTAAATCCGTGGACAAAAGTAATGCCCCAGTAGTATGAATAAAACACACATGGTCTGCAAAAATATCAACAACTTTTTTAATATTGTTCTGAAGCTATTTTCTTGTGGCATTGTAAATTAATTACTATTTATGTAACATAAAACACTGAAAACTTTGTTTTCAAACTTCCACAAAATTTATTTTAAATATTATCACTACAGCTGTTTCGGCTGATTGCCTTTCTCAAGTGATCTATTTTGGCTTGGGTTTACAAATTTATAGTCTCTAATGAAATAGGTTGAGGAGGGGAGAACTGTTTGTCTCAAGTTGGTCATTCAGAATTATATTTGTGTTTTTTAATGTGTTAATTTCCATAGATTCTAACAAAGATAGCTTAAGGCCTTTATTTTGAATGTGTGGACACTATTTAAGTGGACACTAAAATAGTGGTGTGTACAAACTTCAATGTGGCGACTGCCCAAAAACTTACATCGGTCAAACTGGTAGAAACTTTGATAAACGAATAGCAGAACATAAAAGGGCTTTCAAGAATAGAAAAACAGATTCGACATACGCACTTCACCTTCTAGATCATAATCATTCTTTTAATGACAAATTTAAAATTCTTCACATTCAAAATAAAGGCCTTAAGCTATCTTTGTTAGAATCTATGGAAATTAACAAATTAAAAAACACAAATATAATTCTGAATGACCAACTTGAGACAAACAGTTCTCCCCTCCTCAACCTATTTCATTAGAGACTATAAATTTGTAAACCCAAGCCAAAATAGATCACTTGAGAAAGGCAATCAGCCGAAACAGCTGTAGTGATAATATTTAAAATAAATTTTGTGGAAGTTTGAAAACAAAGTTTTCAGTGTTTTATTGTTACATAAAATGAATTTCCATCAAGTAACGGTCGAATCCATCAATTAATTACTATTTAACTGGGAATAAGCCACAATTAAAGATAAAAATACATTTATTGACGTTTCAATTTCCACTTCGGAAATCGTTCTCAAAATACAAACAGTAAATTTAATTTACTGTTTGTATTTTTACTTTCAAAATGTTGTTAATTTACGTTTCAAAACGCCTTATATAACCTATGGAATCGACTACA